AAAAAACAAAAAAAACAAAAAAAAACATCTGAGCTAGATGGGAGCTGTGATGGGTTGGATTGGTCCCAACTTGTTCCTGTGGGGTCAATAGAGGTGTCTCCCACACACCCACCTGCCCTCCAGCTAGAGCATCTGCTCTGTCCTGTGTGACACGTTAGAATGTCCTGATTGGATCTGAAGCATCTGTCCTTTAAAGAGAAAGGGTTGAAACTACTGCTCATTGCAGGGATGGGAAAAGGGAAGCACAAGAGAGGGTCAAGGACTGGCCCAAGGTTTCCTAGTGAAGCTGTGAAACCACGTGGTTTTCAATTCTGTGCTCTTACCTTTAGTTTCTCCTGCTGCAGGGATCCAGGCCCTGAAGAGTGACTGACATGCTGATGGAAATGCAGACCATCTGGTTTAAGATGCTAGCCCTCCACCCCCATCACCATCACCAGGAATCCTAACTAGACAGGATAGTAGAGTGGGCAGTCATTTCCATGTCTAGCATTCCTGTTTGGGCACTGCTACCCTACCCCAGAGAAAGGGGAGACAGCTACAAAGGTGGTTCTACCCTTAGGCTATGAATTTCCCTTTTCCCCAGCCCTGTCAGGCTGTGCTGACATCAATTTTAATGAGGCTGATGATACTGCTGTGTTGACAGTTTGGAAAGGGAGTCCGGTTACCAGTTGACTTAGACTTTAGCTTAAGTGGGACAAAGCTATTGCTTTGCAGAAAAACCAAGATTGCAGCAAGTGTAGAAGTTCTTCCTGGAGCCAATTAGGTCAGCTTCATACTCTCTGACAAGTATTTTATAACTTGTCCCAGACAAGGGAGGGCATAAGAGAAAATAAGATTACCCTTGGAGTTAACTGATTAAGGGACTCGACCCCAGGAGGGGATGGTATGTTTCTTTATTATGGCACTGCCCCATCCCAGCCCTGGGCAAGCAGGAGTGAAGGAGTGAGGAAGGCCTCAAAGCAACCAGAGATGTTCTAGCTCCAGCCTAGCCACTGGCTGGTATCCGACCCTCCTTCCTGGGTTACATTAACCCTTCTGTGAGCCTCCAGTTCCTCAGCTGAAAATATGGGACAAAATTAAGTGAGCTTGCAGCTCTGTCCCAGCTGTAGGAATCTGAATGGGGTCTGTTCCCAGTTCTAGCCATCAGTGGATGCTAGTAGTCAGTTGCTCATGCTGTTACTCCCAGTTACCGGATCCATCTGAAGGAGTGACATGGGTTTGGGTCGGTGGCAAATGTCAGAGCTGTAGGGTGCTGAGGTACAAAGGGATAGACCAGTACAGGGAGAACAGTAAAAAGAGGCTCTTAAAAGTTATCTGGGCCAGCCTGGTTGAGGGCCATACCTCCAGAACTGGCAATGAATGAGGTGTCTTCTGAAAACTGCAATAAATACTGGTAAATCAGCCTTACTAATCAGTCTTCGGAAATAGCACACACACACCCCAGTATCTGGGATGGGATAGATACCAGGAGCATACCCATTCTGCAGATGAGGACACTGAGGCTTGGTATAGCAGGATGTATATCTGCCACTAGGGGGCACTAACACTTCCAAGTCAGAGGAAGGGAGCAGATGGCTATTAACTGAGAAGTATTCTTCAATAACTTGTGCAAAATAATACACTGTAATCCTAATTTTACAGATACAGAAACTGAAGGATTTAGGTGAAGTGCCCAAAGAGTCACGTAGCCGGTAAGTGGTGGGCCTGGCTGGGGTTTCCAAGCCAGCTCTGCCTGAATCCAGAGCTTCTGCTCTTTGGTGAATGTGCCTTCTTGGGGTCTTCTGGCTCCTGGTTCTGTTCCGATGGGAAAGTTAGTGGACCTGTTTCTTCCTCCCACATCTGGGAGCAAAGGAGATGCTGGCTAACAAGACGTTGTTGGTTCTAGAAGTTCAGGACAGAGTGGCAACAGAGCTAAAGTTTTGGAACCATGAATGCTCAGGGGTACAGACTAACAGCACTATAAACACAGCTACTACTCTTAATCTTAACAATAATTTCACATTATGGGACGCAGCCCTGCCATATATGATTGTGAAATTGAAAAAGACCGTTTGCTCTCAAAACTCAGTTTTCCTATTTATAAACTGGGTGTGCCCTACCCACTCTACTAGGATAATGAGTGTGAAAGTGCTAGACACCATGAGAGGTAACTTGTTGAGAAGAGCTGGAAACACCCTGCACTGTCTGCCTCTGTTGGTGGCTGACTAGGCTAGCATGCATGCAGTCAGCATTCTGTTTATCTGGGAGCTGCTGCAGCAGCAGTAGGTGGGCAAGAATTGGGCCTCTGAGCAAAGGGGGGAAGCCTGGTATGTAGGGAGTTTGGGACTGAGTGAGAGGACCCTGGGGAAACTTGAGAAGTCTGCAGGACCCCAGCCAGCTGCTGAAGATGGGAATTCCTGTCAGGCTCTTGACTTGATCCATTCCAGTAACTGGGTTGGGGCCCTGCCTTGTTCGTGATCTTCCCTTAGGGTCCCCTTTTGCTGGGACATCAACCTACTGCTTCCCTGCTTCTGTAGCGACCACAGCTACCTGTCCAAATCATACCTGCAACTACCCTGCCACACTCAGGCCTGACCAACTTCATTCCATCTTAGAAAATTTACAAGAAGTTCTTCATCTCTAGAATGGTAAGACAACTTTAACTTTATTTTTTATCAATGGCCACTCTTAGTTTGACACACAAATCTTTTGAAAAAGTTCTTATTTATCTAATTTCCTACAACATTCTTGGGTCAAATTTTGCCCCATGGAGCCACAAGAAGGGGGAAAAATCTAATTCAGCTTTTCAAAGGAGTCCTGCAAATACTTGACAATATCCATCATGGCTCCCTAGCCCTTCGCTTCTCCACAGTTTATCTCTATTGAATATTCTTGAAAGTTTCAACTACTGGCTACTATGCAACAAGGTTCCAATGTCATGTTTGACCATGCTGTACTTCATTCCTTTTTGTTGCCAAGTAATATTCCACTGTATGGCTATATTACGTTTTACTTATCCATTCATCAGTTGGTGGACATTTGGATTGTTTCCCTTTTTTGGCTATTATTAACAATGTCTCCATGAACATTTGTGTACAAGTTTTTGTGTGGACATGTGCTTTCATTTCTTTTGGGTATATACAAGGAGTGGAATTACTAGGTAATTACTGGTAACTACATTTAACCTTTTGAAGAACTGCCAGATAGTTTTCTAAAGTGGCTGCACCATTTTACATTCCCATCAGCAGTGTATGAGAATTCCAATCTCTCCACATCTTTGTTAATACCTATCTTTCTGTTTCTGAACATCTTAGTGAATGTGAGGTGGAATCTCATTGTGGTTTTGATTTGCATTTCTTTTTTTTTTTTCCTTTTCATTTGCATTTTTCTGATGGCTGATGATATCAGACATCTTTTCATGTGCTTATTGTTTAGAATATTATCTTTCAACATATCTGGATGATCTGGTTGGCCTCAGGTTGACAGTATCACATGGTTGAGACCAGGTTGCTGCAGGGCGTTCTGGGGTACTGGGCTCTTTTTAGAGATGGCTGTGAGCTGAGTAGGCAACAAGGGAGAGCAGTTGGACTGGGCTGCTGATGAATGTCTGGAGTCATCTATGAGAATATAGATCTTGAAGCCCTGTGAATGAATGGGATTCCCAAGGACAGTGTGAGGGGAGAAAAGTGAAAGTTGTTAAAGCTTTGGGGACTATTGGAAGTTAAGAGTGGTGAGAAGAAGAGGTGGAGATGTATCATAGAGACCTACTCTCCTGATGGGTGTGTGGAGGGGAAGGACCTGCTAGACCAGGTGAGGTGAGGTGGGGCATAGGAAGGAGATATGGTATGGCCAGTGAGGCCTAGAATGTCAGGATGAGGTCTAAGGGTAGAGAAGGTCCAGCAGACCACAGGCAGTCCAGGGAGCGGGAGCTCAGGAATGGGACCCCTCACTAAGTGTCTGATTAGTGCAAGAACCTGGGCCCAAATTTCTGGGCTGTTTAGGGTTCTCATGTAGTTCTCACTACTGCCCTCTGGTGGTGGTGGTTCCTATTTCCCAAGAAGTTGAGACGTTGCTCAGCAGAAACAGATGGAGTCCGGAGTTAGTAGTAGAACCCGGGCCTAACTTACTACAAAGCCTGTGCTTTTCTCAGGACACCCTACTGTTTCAGCATCCTGTGGTGACCCAGCTCAGGAAGAGATGATTATCATTTGGAAGGAATTTTGGGCAGGAGTCCCAGCTTAAGTGTCAACTATTAGGGCAGACTCTTCCTCTTCACCCAGATAAAGAAGGTTCCTTATTAATCTCACCAAGCACTCCATTTGTTTTCTTCATTGCTGTAATTACTGTAACTCAGGATTTTATATCAATATGTGAATATAGTTTACTTGTACTGTAAACTACAGTTTACGGGGAGAGGACCACACTTTTTGTTCCCCACTGTATTCCTGGTGCCTGGCACACAGCAGGCACTCCGAAATCTATTTGTTAGATGGGTGAGTGAGGTAGCATTTGGAAAACAGAGGCTGGTGAGATGCATATCACAGGTCAAGATTCTTTCAGGAGTCAGGATGAGTGGACGTGCACCTTCCACGCTGCCCCAGGGTGTGATGGTGGGCTTGTTCCCTCGGAGTCAGCATAAAAATGGTGTTTATGTTACAGGATGAAGACCACGGTTGAGGAAGGAAGTGTAGGCGAGCGTGTGACTAGCAAGGGTGCCTATACACAGAAGAACTGAGAACCTTGGGAGAATCAGACTCGCTGGCCACATGACACCAGGGCAGGTCCTTGGCAGCTGGGGTTAGGGAGCTTGGGTGGATCAGAACTTCTTCCTCAGAGGAACTGCTAACTGAAATCAACATGTCTGTTATATTTAAGGAAGATGGAATTTATTCATAGTTTTACTGAGGACCACGGTGTGAAAGCAGCCCACCAGTGTGCTCTGATAAACTGCTCTGAAGCCCCTTCACTGGGAGACATCTCAAATACTTCTTCTACAGCAGGGGATGCATGCAGGAATGAGGTTACATTTAATAACACATCAAGCAGTGTGACATGGATGCATCTAGTTAGGGTCCTAAAGGATCATCCTGTACACATTCTGATGCTGTCTGTGTGTAAGAGGGGGCCAGGATAAGGGTCTCATTAGGTGGAGGGCATATGTGACATTATCTTATTATCCATGCTAACCAGAAAATTCCTGACTGACCGCATTTCTGGGAAAGGTTGAAACTACAATTAGGTTGGTATTAAGTCCCAGTTTGGTGACTGGCCTAGCAGGAGTGACACCATGTTGGATCTGTATTTTTCTTTTTATCAGAACTTACCAGAAAGCTGACTTCAGGAGCAACTCAGGGAATAGTCATATTTACCTAAAGAACTAAATGTGGCCTGAGGAGTAAGTATATGAAGTCAGTTATGCCTCGGTCTTTGCTGTCATTTTTCCTTTTTGCACTTGCTCATTCAGAAAATGTTTATTGGCATCTACTAAAATGCTAAGAAGTCCTCTGCTTGGTGCTAGGGATACAATAGGAAACAGTCCAGGCCCTGCTTGCAAGAAGCCCCTGGCCTTGGAGTATGCAGTTATAATATAAGGCTCTGAGCAACATTAAGGGCAGAGGCCTGGTCTGTCTTGTTCACTCTGTTATCCTGAGGGCTTTACCATGGATTTAGTGCTAAGTAGGTGCTCTGCATGGTTCCTGATCCAAAGGAGCTCAGTCTAGAATGACAGACCAGAAAAGGGACAGTTACCATAACAGGTCATAAGTAGATGAAAAAGAGGGTCCTATTGGAGCCCAGTGAAGGTTGTTCGGGAGATCAGAGGTTATGCGAGGATATGATTTCTACCCAAAGGACCTGCAGAAAGTGGCCAGGCATAGCTCAGTGTGGTAAAGGTGAAGGAGTGGGGAGAGGGTAGGCTAAGGAACCAGCCTGTCCCAAGACCCGGAGGTAAGAGAACCTGATCCTTTAGGAGTACTCAAAATAATCCAGTGTAGCTGGAGCACAGAGTGTGCAAAAAATTCAGGAGTCCTAGACGTGGGAAGTTTTGCAGGAGCCAACTTCAGGAGGAGCTGAGCACAGTCGGGCTGGTTACCGGGTTCTCAGACCCCAGGGCTTCAGGTCTGAGACTGGCTCTCCATCCATGGTCTTGATCACCATCACCCAGCACTCTGGGTGCCCTAGTTTCTCCAAAACGAAGTTCTTCCTTGCTCTGTCTTGTCGATAATAGGAAAAAAAAAAACCGCCCATGGTTTTAATGTGTTTTTAAAAGAACTTTCCACACGTTCTCATCCAATTCGACTATTGAATATTGATTCATTTTCCAAGAAGAAAAAGCAACCAAAAGCACCAGAAGCTGACTTTTAAAACAAGAACAAGAGTAGAAAGAAAATTGTGTTCTTTCTTCACTATAGTAAGGTAAAGTCCTACTTTAATTTATTAAAAGCTTTTATGTAATCACAAATAACATCAGCCTAATTTGCTCTTGTGGGATGATTGAATTCTTAAATGCTATTTCTCTTTTTTTCTCCTTAAACTTAATTTTCATATATTCACAAATTATGCAAAACCATAAGTTTCCTTTAGCCCAGTGTTACTGAGCTATGTTAGTGTTGGATTTAGTTTTCGCGTCATCAGGGTCTGTTGCTCGGCCGCACCCAGATGTGAAAGACCATTTAAACATGAGAGACATTAAGCACATACCATCAAGTCTAGCACACCCCCATGTCCCTAAGGAATGAACCCAGCTGCCAGGTCCTTCTTTCCTTTATTAGCCTACTGGCCTCCAAACATGCACTTCTTCGGCACCCCTCTAATTTCCCGGGTCCATTTTCCATCACCTTTTAACACCTAAATCTTTCCAGAAAAGGTCTATTTTTGACTCTTCTGTTTCCTCATATCCCTTGGCCACCAAATCTGCTGTCTCCAGTGGCCCCTGAACCCCAAGGCCACTGGTCTCTTCTTCCTCTCATTCTCCTGGACTACTCTGGTCTTTGACCCTATAGGTTTTCCCCTCCTCAAGGACACACCCTGGTTCCCTTTCATCTGCTTTTGGCCCCTTTTCTCCATTTCTGCCAGGGCAACTGCATGTGGCTTCCCTCTAAGCTGCTCATACATACGCACACTCTCCTTCAGCAGTCTGACCTAACCTCGGTCTTTTTCTCACTCTGAATGGCTTGGAAATCTCTCTCTGGCCCAGACCTGTACTCTGAGCTTCCTTTCTCCTCCTGGACACGTCTTTCCTCCTACATGCTGGACAGTTTCACCTGCATGTCTATACCAACATGTCCAAAACCTACCCTTCTCACCTTCCACCCAGAGGTCCCTCCTCCACTTTTCTGTTATTGTTACTTTGCTCACCCTATCTGGCAGGTAAGTCAGGTTGGGAATCAGTGTTGGTTTTTTTCCCTCAAACTGCCTCTTACTTCTCAGCTTTCTCTGCAACCCATCATAGTGTATTGTGAGGCAGGCAGTCCAGAGTTTTCGTCCCAGCTCGGCTCCTCCAGCTTTCTGGACGGCTTTGGACAAGTCAATAAAAGTTTTTGAATATTTTGCCTCTCATATAATAGGAATGGCAACCACTTATTTAAAGTTTACTACAGGCTAAGTACTGTTCTCAGGGTCTTCTATACATCTCACAAACCTTATGAGGTAGGTTCTGTGTAATTTTCCCATTTCAGAGAAAAAGGCAAATGATGTTCATAGTTTAATGTATTCATGATCAACAAGCGGCTAGTGGCAAGGGCTGCGCTCGAAGCAGCTCTGTAATTCTAACTTCAGGATTCGTTTTTTTCATCACTCTATAGGGCGCACTTCCCTCAAGCCGACAGCAATTACCACATGTCTCTTCACCGATGCACTCAAGCTTTAGGGCCAAGCTTTCGGGCACCGGGCTTTACGCCCAGCTCCCAGCAACCGCCAGGCTTTCCCTCGCCGCTGCACCGCCCGCCTGGCGGGAGGTTCTGTCCCCTTCCCTGATTGGCTGTCGGGAGCAAGGTGGGACCCGGGGACTGGCTGCGCTGCGGCCCCGGGCTGACAAGGCGGAGCTGACGTGGCGGGGCGGATGTGTAGACCCTGCTGGGCCAGTTACCGAACAGACCCGAGGTGGGAGGTGGTGGTCGATTTAGGAGTGCAAGTCTCCGCCATGCCGCTGGAGCTGGAGCTGTGTCCCGGGCGCTGGGTGGGTGGGCAGCACCCGTGCTTCATCATTGCCGAGATCGGCCAAAACCACCAAGGCGACCTGGACGTGGCCAAGCGCATGATCCGCATGGCCAAGGTGAGCGGAGAGCTGGAGAGAAGGATGCGACGCGGGGGCGGGGCTGGCCCGGGAAAGGGGCAAGGTCTCGCGGAGTCGAGACCACCATTCTGTGGGACCAATTCGTCAGGTCCATTTTAAATTTTTTCCAATCTTCATACCTCTGCCACCCTCCTGACTTGTCTGCATTACTGCCTCCTAACCCGACCTTTCTTGTCCCCTTCTGGTTGCAGAATAATCTAAAACAGATTTTATCAGGTCGTACCCGTACCTGACATTTGAGTGGCTCCCCACTGCCGTGGATAGTGTTGAAACCTTTTAACATAGCCTTCAAGATCTTGATGACCTATCTCCTTCCCACCTGTTGTTTTTCATCCCTGTCATCCTGCAGCGACACTGAATTACTTCCAGGAAGTTTTTGGAAGTTGCTGTGGTCTCTCCCACCTGCCATTCCTTGTGTTTGGAATATGAAATGATTAAAATGCCAGGACATGCCAGGACTCTGGGTTCAAATTCTGACTGTCGCCACTTACTGGCAGTGTGAGCCTCAGTGTCCTCATTTGAAAACCAGGTATAATGATAGTACTTCAGAATTGTGAGGATCAAATGAAGATAACTCATATAAAGCTCTTATCACAGTAATTGTAACATAGGACTCAACAATTGTTCTTAGTGATACGATGTTTATGAACATTTACGCTCTCTCTTGGTAGTTGCTACTCCTGTACAGGTCTACTTGGATGCTTTCTCCGACTCTTCTCCCAAACACTGGGCCCCTGGAATTGTTCCCATCAGACTGCTTTGTCATTGTCTAAGCTGCTTTCTCTTTCTGTTAGACTGTAAGACCCCTGAATGGAGGGACTATCTTGGTTTCGTGGTGACCCCAGTCCCAGCATAAGGTCTGAGCTGTGGTTTTTAGTGATAGCTCACTCCATCTTTTTTTCTTTTTTTTCCCTTTAAAGCTGTTCATTCGATTTCATTAGGTTTTATCTTACTCTTCTTTCAGGACTAACTGCTTTTATGGAAGCCTACTGAATCTTAAAAATACTTTTAAAGAGTACCAATTGCTAATATTTTTGAGTGCTTATTCTTATTAGCTACTGGGCTAAGTGCTTTAAATGCATCAAGTTATTTGATTCTCACGACCAACACTGGATACTGTTGGTTTCATTTTAAAGGTTCAGAGAAGATAAAGTGACTTGCCCAAAGGCACACAGCTAGTAAATAATGGACTTCAGAGCTTTGCTCCTAGCTGCAGGGTTCCAGCTTTTCTATATAACATTGTTTTCTGGGGGGAAATTACTGCTCTTAATTTAGGGAACAACCTCTTTTTTAGAGGTGTGACTTCTGAATGCTCATGTTATAAAAATACCTAGAAGTATTGAAGAGGGCTGAGGAGAGAGGAGAATGGAGAGGCAGAGGCTGTTACAGTGGAAAAAGCACTATACTGCAGTCAAGATACCTAGGCCCTAGTTTCACTTGCTTTACAGTACATATGTGTTTTTTGTTTTTAAATTTAAAGCAGTGGAAGCTTTAGCAATCCTTTTACTTTAGGACTTTTTTTTCGGTCTTTATTGTCAAATGAAGTCACCTTTGCTAGTTTACCTAGGGTGTGTTCTGTGCAAGCTGGCTTGCTCATACAAGGAATCCATTTGCAATATTAAAAGTTGAGTCAATTCAATTTTTAAGTTTATTATAGAAAAATATAATTATGTAATAATATATAAAATATCCTGTCTTATAATTAGAGATTTGATCATTGAATATACTTTTAAACTCCAAATATTGATGCAAAGGGATAATCACACCTTGGCTCATTGTGGAGTTCTGATTCTCATTTTTTGCCAGTAGAGAACCAATGAAATCTTGAACAAAGAAACCATGAACATTACAGTAAAACAGGGACAGTCACTGTGCTTCCTGAACAGAGAGTTCACCAACAGTAAACAGATAAAGAAATCACTCATTTTTAGGAAAGAAGCTGAGAAAGGAAGCGGAGGCACCTGCTCCCCTCCCCATTCAGCTGCTGTCATGTGGAATGTAGAACTTAATCGGCTCTTGTCTTTAGTAGTTCTATCTTTTATCTTCCTGTAAAGGCGACGTTTGCCCAGATGAAGACAAAGTTTTTAACTTATTGAGGGTAA